GGTATTTGACGGGGGTTAATTGGAGTCTCTTATAGCAACTGACTGACAGCAAGCGTCGGGAAAATAAAAAGTCAATTCTGGGATTCGAACCCACCGTCTAACGATCTGAAAACCGTGAGCTTCACCATTTGGCCATCTCAGAGATACTGCTTTTTGATGTTCATATTAATTAAGGAGATAACAAAGTCATTCAACTTAATGCACAGAATGTTGCATAAATGGTGCGTAAATACTGATTGAAACGTTATCCGCCCTGCGCTGAGGTGCGCCCTCATCGGCGAAAGAGAGACAGGTGGCGATAAGTTTTTCTACCGGGTTTTAACACGCGTTCGGCGTGCACGTATAGTTAAAAATTGTTGCGCGTACTCAGCGTGCTCCGCGTCAACGTGCATAAACTTGCGGTGCGTGAGTACTAAAGGACTGTCGATTTCATTTCAAAACACGCCCTCTTTTATTCTGCTCGGAGCGGATATAATGGAGATCAAGGGCTTACATGCATTGATTGCCATTTGCATGGAGCCATGGAACCCGAAGTTAACGCACAACTTCTGCGATCGTCCACAATGGGAACCTGCAAGTTAAGGTGCTTAACTCACTTTACGAACGGGATAGGGAGCGCGTACATTCCGCTCTTTGAAAATGCTGCACGGGCGCACGGAATAACAACCGCAACGGTACACCACCTCAACTGAAAAAAGGAGAGTTACTCACATCCTTTTTCATTTAATTTTTCATGGTTCACCGTTGCAATGTTTCATCTGAAACCCAATCAGAAAGTGAAAAGAGGTCGGACAGAATTGCGTACTCATCATGTAGCCATATAGCCCTTCAGACCGAATGCAAAACTTCATTTAAGAGAGATGTGTGCTGAAATTCTATGGTGCACCGTTCACGATGGGCCTACCTCATCCCATTTTCAGTGGCCAACTTGTCTCTTGTTGTTCATACTTGACAGCAGCAATCCCATTCGTGCAAACTGACTATGGACCCTTCCACTGAAAATAATCCTGTACCGATGGGTGATCATAACCCATAGCTCCTGTATCACTAAATGTTAAATAACGATGC